CCGCTTTTACCTCCTCCCTCCATCTAACTAAATGTTATGAAATATCTAAGAAATAAGTAAATGTTATTTTTTACTGAAAGAAGATTACCAGAACAACAATGTAAGAACATGACCAGTGTTTGCTGCACTTCTGAATGAAGATGTGGACTAATTATTAGTTTCACTTTATAAACAGTAGTGACAACAAATGAAATTATTTTTACCAAAATGACTTTTACCAAATTGATTACACTTATTTCCTGAGGTCATGTAATGTGCTGGAATTGTAAATTTTGGTGCTGTAGATAAAAAAAATGCGCAAGCGACATTTTCCAAATGCTATAACTTAGTGGGTTTAGCGCTAAGTTTTGATTATAATAATAATAATAAATGAAAGATTTCAGGTACGTCTTGCTACTTTTACTTACACTTAGGTCACACTACACATACATGTACAAGTATATATATATACACACCGATCTGGGTTTTCTGCTATTTTCTTTCTAGTTCTTGTTCTTGTTTATTTCCTCTCATCTCCATGGGGAAGTGGAACAGAATTATTCCTCCGTAAGCCATGCGTGTTGTAAGAGGCGACTAAAATGCCGAGGGAAAGGGGTTAGTAACCCCTTCTCTTGTATAAATTACTAAATTTAAAAAGAGAAACTTTCATTTTTCTTTTTGGGCCACCCTGCCTTGGCGGGATATGGCCGGCTCGTTAAAAAAAAAAAAAAAATTCAAGAGCCAGGGGATGTGGAGAATATCAGTTGCAAAATAACATGCAATAAATAATGAGTTATGGACAATATTTTAAATTTATAAGGAGATAAAACAAGTAGCTGTAAAAAGGGCAGTATTGATAAACATAGTGATGAGTGTAGTAACAGTGCCTGTACAGGTCAGCCATCACTAATCCGGCAATCAGTTATCCGGTTCCATCAATAATCCAGCACTAATTTCGGCTAGCATAATTTCAAATTTCATCATTATACTGACTCAGAAATTGTGCAGATAGTTGTAAATCCACAGCAGCAAGCCAGAGGAGGAGAAAGCTGCGATTAAATGAGGAAGATGTAGCAGACAGTCTCTCTACTGATAGATTAATTATATTCTAACCTAACCACTCTGTAATCCAGCAAACTCTATAATCCGGCACACTACAGGTCCCAATGATGCTGGACTAGTGATGGCCAACCTGTACTACTGTTGCAATAATGTTGGTAGAATTACCAACAATATGTTAGGTAATAGGACGTAAGTGCAACTGATGCCACAATCAAATGTCACATTAGTTGCACCTGTGTCCTTTTACCTAATATAATAATATTATACAGCACAGCACTTGAGGAATGACAGGTAATCAGATTTGATCCAGGGAAGGGGAGGATAGCCCTGATTAGATGCATTAAGAGCCATTTATCAGCATCAAGGCCCTCCTCCTTGTAAGGGCTTATAATAATACAGGTTTTCACCTCTAAATTTGCTTTATGAGAAGTGAAACGAGCCTGAGCATTATCCTACACTCAAGTTTTAATTAGATTTTTCTCATATAAACTTTCTACCCCAACGAGGAATTTTCTCTCATGCATAATTAATGAGGCAGGTATGACCTATAATGTTAGTTTAAACTTACAGATGATGGCGAGTAGCAGAGGCAGCGGGATGTTCCATTCCCTGATCTACTGGCTCTCGCCGAGGTCTTCGCAAAATCCGTTCTCCCCGTCCAAGCGGCAATCCCGGAGGTGGTGCAGGATGTCCAAGATCACGGCTTCCTGAGTACGCTGGCAGTCCACGGTCAATCCATTCACTTTCTCTAGCCCCCCACTCATCTCTATAGCTTCTTCTGTTGGATAATAATGACCAATAATGTGTTAAAACAATATACACCTACCATCCGACTTACGACCTGCTCGACATACGTTCACTCGACTTACGACCGTGCATTGGGCAGCTGGGCTGGGCCGGCTGATGCATACCTCTGTACAATATTTGACAATACTCGGGGCGGGAATGTGTCATGCAGGCAGCATCAGTTTGAATAACCCTGCCCTATCAGCAGCATTATACTGTATTAATTGTACTAACTGGACAGTAAATTTCACCATGGCCCCTAAGATGAAGTCTGAATCTTGCACTGGAGATTGTGGCAAGAAAGGCTCTTACTCTCGAACTCTCTATTTGTTTTCAGTGTTGCATATAAACCTGTCTGTATCTATCTGCCTGTATATCTGTGTCTGTATCTCTGTGTGTCTGTCTGTCTACCTGTGTGTCTTTCTGTCTACCTGTGTGTCTGTCTTTCTCTACCTGTCTGTCTACCTGTGTCTGTCTTTCTATCTACCTGTGTGTCTGTCTTCTGTCTACTTGTGTGTGTCTTTCTGTCTACCTGTGTCTGTCTTCTGTCTACCTGTGTGTCTCTTTCTGTCTACCTGTGTGTCTCTTTCTGTCTACCTGTGTCTGTCTTTCTGTCTGCTTGTCTGTCTCAGAGCCACTCATTAAGAGTGTAATTCGTCTTTGAAGATGCCAT